ATGAAGGGAAATAAGGTCAGGCTGCGTCTCAGGTGAAATTTCTTTGTTTACGTGTGCAGAGGCAATGGGAGCCGGGGTGGATGGGCGAGAGCGTAAAATAGCCTGTGTCTGAGCTATTGTTTCATGGACTTTAGGGCAGCTATGGTCTGGGGAGAGGATCTCACAGATGAGATTCCAATATGAGAATGCAGTAACGGGAACTTTTGCAGGAACAAAGGTTTGAAAGTAGTTATTTAAGGCGTCTCCTACTCTTTGCCAGCGTCTATAGTCTATAGTGCCTTCGAGGGGGAACCAAGGATAAGTTTCTTTTATGAAATCAAAAAACTTAAGAAGGGGTCTCAACAGAATGCAGTGTAAATGCGATCTCTTTTCAGGATCGGCCTGAGGAGTCTCTCTGTGCTCCTGGCTGGGTACCGACCTGGGCCGGCCGGCTTCGGAAGACCTCCGCCCCGGGAGAGGTCACAACGTGGACAATGGTTGGTGAGGACAATATAAAGTATGCAATAAATAAATTTCTTTCTCCCTAAAGGATATTATCAGTGCGTTCATAGCCCATAAAGACTAAATTTTACATAAGTATTAGTAACATTTTTATTTTTAAAGATTTATTTATGCATACAAGAACTGGGGTACAGGCCAGAGGTGTGGAGGTAAGAGGGGTTCACTGCAAACTGAATGGGGAGCAGATCAAGCAGATAAACTGAAATCCATTGCTGAGGGGAGCAGTGGGCAAGATGGGAGAGGTCTGCCACACCACCTGTGTTATCTACCTGGCTGGGGATCGAACTCACATGCTGCAGTGGCTGCCAATAGCTTCTCGGGGTTGTGCTTGAACCCCTTGCACACTAGGGAAGACCCAGAACATTATTTGAAAACAGTTATGATAAATTCAGTTCTGCTTAACAAGCATTTCTAGAATGTTACTATAACTTAAGCCCCGAAATTGAATTATACCATCATAAATATCTCAACGTTAGAACAACAGAAATATAAATATCATTGTCTTGCACTTAACAACATTTTAAAAACCTTGAGCCTTCTTTTAAATATGGCCATTAAAACTGAAATTTCCCAAAATACATAATTTTCAATAGAGGACTCTAGGATTCACCTTCTTTTGAAATGTTTTGATTTGTAGCCTTTTAAATTATTTGCTTTATTCTTTGATATACTTTCTTAGGAGGCCAAAAGGATTTTCTTATTGATTTTTTTCATCCTCTGGTGCAAATAAAGCAGTGAGTAATTAGCAGATCTAGTTTTGTCTTATGGTGACAACTTCAACTTTATCTCATTATGCCATTTTTTTAAAATATCAGCAGCATTGATTGGTCCCCAAAACACTGATCTAGAAATAGTGTTAATTATCTGCAGCTGCACAAGCAGCAAAAGGAGCATAAAACACTGCTTTTTGTTCACAATGAAGAAAAACAATGAAACATAAAGTTCTCAGATGTAAGCAACTGCGGAACTTTACCCCAGAGCAACAGTGTAAAAAGTGGGTCATACATACATAAATCCAGCAATTCTATCAGGTATTTTACATTAAAGCTGTGAAATAATTGTGTGTTACCCGTCTGGGATACTTGTTGCAGCTGAAGTTTTTCCTCATCAATCTATTTGGTTTAGACTATCTAAGTCTATTTGGATAAGACTATCAGAAAGCCTTTACAAGAACACAAGTATCATGATTTTTTAGGTCGCTTCTGAGAGAAAAGCCATCGGGGACAAAAATCCAAGTATGTGATTTTGAACATGACACATTTGGGTAATTTCCATCATCCTGCAATTGTGGCCAAAAGGAGCATAAACTATATCATTGTCTTTGAGGCCATTGATCTCTGATCTCAGAAGAAAAGTATTGCTATTAAAAGCATTAAATAAGGAAATAATAAGCAATTACCTCAAAGGTTTACCAGTTACTTAAAACCAGTTGTTAACACTCATCTATTCCTCACATTTTCATGTCTTCCTCTCTTTTTTTAATATGGCAATAACTTATTTGTTCATTCATTTAGCAAATACATGTTAAAACATTTGTTGATTGACTCCTCTACCCTGCCAGATTCACTTTCAACCAACGATCATAAAACACAGAAAGCAACTTTTAGAGATTATCTAGATTGACAAGTTCAATTGATCTGATCAAATTACTTCCCAATTATAAATAAGCTACAAGTGCAGCTATTTAAATCACTCTTTAAAGAAAATTCATATTAGCTAGTCTGTTAAGTTCTAAATAAAAAGTGAATAAAATCTAGAGGATACCTTTATGTAACCCCTGGTCAATTAAAGGAGATTGATGTTAGTGTATCACAAATGTGGTGAGCACAATAAAATGAGAGGTTTTGGGTTCTAAGTAAGGGTAAAATGAATGTGGTAATCAAAGAGTATGTTCCATTTCTTTTGTCTTTAATGAGATCAAGAAAAAATAGGTTGTTCCTTTAAATTAAACATAAGAAAGAAATTTCTAATTTAAACTATATAAATGGCCTAAACTAATGAAGTCCTTTTTTTCCTCATCACTGAAATACGCACATGACCCCCAAGCTTAAAGCTTCCATTATATATAATAGCCATCTTTATTGATCCAACTGCTTGGCAAACTCTCCTTCCCTAAGTGTTGTATAAACACCCACTTTGTATTGACATCCTCAGAGCAAACAGAGCATATCAAATATTAACTTAAATATCAACTCTTTGTAAACTAGTTATTTATTTATCAAATATAATGTATATTGGGGGGTACCTTTAAAATAGGCTGTGGCAAAAATAGAATAAGCCCAAGTACTATTTACATGAAGCATCTTATAGTCACTTAGAGCATGGTAATCTCCCCTCCTGGTAATGGTCTCTACTCAGGATGCTTATCTGTTTCTTTGAGCAACATCTTATTAACTTTTTATTTTATTTATATATCTATTTACATTATTATTCATTTTAAAACAATGTTTACTCCTCTCTCCCCCACAGGTCATCACCATGGTCCCCCACATTCCTGCACCCCTCCTTCCAATCCCTCTCTGTCCTCCCCCCTCCCCAGGATATCTCTGGTTTATAATTGTCTGTCTGTTCATTTTAGCAATAGGTTTATGATCTTCATAGTATGAAATAAGTCCCCTTTTATCTGCCATTAATTCTGCATTTTAAATAAGTTAGAGTTGTAGTGAGAGAAAACTTTGTAAAAAGTCTGGACTCTGTATTGGCAATTATTAGGTAGAATCAGTGTTCCAAAATTCCAGGTTCTGGCATCACGATCAAGCCCTGTACTGGCTTCGGGTGCTAAGCGTGGAGAGCCTTGCCTCAGGCATTACATAAACTGGGAGATTTTCCACTAGCTTTGACTTGGGTGCAGGGGCCCTGAATGAAATCACAGATCAATAATTTCAAAGGTGTTAAATGTGTGTCGATGGAACCCAGGGTCTCTGGATTTTATGCTAAAAGTTTGTGTTTTAATGTAAAATGAATCAACTAAGTCTTTGTAACTCAGGCAAAGGATTATATATTGATTCATTTTCAATACCATCCTCCTATTGATGTCCAAATAAAAATCTACGTGCCCTGTACATATGTTAACATAATATTTATTTTTAAAACTGAATTACTTTATTGTTCTGAAAGTTCAAAAAACATAGTTTGTCAGATATCTTTATGGCATACTGATGTTTTAGACATTTGATGATTAATTAAAAGGAATTCCAAGAGATCCAGAAGGTTTTTGAACTTGTATGGGAATACATAGAACAATGAAATCCTGGCATAAAATTTTGCTATCCCTTTATAAAACCAACATAAAAATCATGGCTTCACTCTTCTGTGCTTTGGTCGACTTTATAGAAATGCTATTTCACAGTCTTTTTTCCTAATTTCCACCACCCCAACCTTCCTTCCCTACCACCAGTCACTTCCCTTCTCTCTCTGCCTCTCATTGGTATACCCTGTTTCTCTGTCCCAAGTGAAGAATTTCCAGACTCTCTACCTTAGTTGCATCAGTCTGCCTTGACTAATTCACTTGAAATGCCAGGAAAGATGTCCTAAATCCAGTCAGCATGAAATAAAGGACTTAGTGCATAGGTACTTTTATAAAAACAGGAAACTTCAAAGAAACGTAAATACTTGCTGTTTTCTAGAAATGCCGCTCATGTTCTTACACTCTGTCTGTTGGGATGTTTGAATAATAAAGATGTAAATACACTAAAGCCACAATTCAGTTTGTTTCTGAACATACCCAAATAGATAATTCCCTTGTTCATTTGATGTAAAGGCAAAACATGAATTACAGAAAAGTATGCACACAAATAGAATTCCTTCGCAAAGGGCACAGATACACCTGATTGTTTCAGCCACCAAAGAATTTCAATTCCAGCTGTGTCCGTTGCAACCCTGAAATATATACTACCTTAGAAGACCAGTGATCATTACAAAAGAAACTAAAATATCCTCTTCTCTTTGTGGAACTTCTGCGCCAGCCCCCAGGGAACAGAATACAAGGACTTTCTCCATTGCTGGGAGAGAATGCTGAAAAGGAGCCTGAAGTGGTCCAGGCTCAGAGCTCTATTTGGTGTCTTTTCATCTTTTTTTGTTGTTGTTGTTATTTTATTTCATGAACATCAGTATCCTTTTTTCTCTCTCTCTCTTTCTTTAACTTTGTTTCAAATGATTCCCTGAGAAAAATGGACATAAGCAAAAGCTTGTAGAAGGCACCCAACCTGCATTATTCCTTAAACTTGAAAAAATATAAGCCTGCGCATATAACACTATAATCCAAATTTCACAAATTTCTCTCTATTTAATAACATGTGCCTAAATTCTATAATCCATGGAACTCTGATTGATAACAATGTTTACCCCAAGTGAACCATAATTGTACTAACCAAGCTTCTGAAACTGTTTCAATAAAACTGGATGAAAGCTTAGCAGACATAGCCAAATATTTAGTCTCTGCAGTTACTCTTGGTAAGGAGTACTGTTCAATCAAAGGGATTTAATTTAACGATGTTTACCTGTGTGTAAGCCTCCGGTGACTAATGCAGATAGCAGTCTGAGAGTCTTGAGCAATGCACACTTTATGGTGGCTACATTTCATCTTTAAGCATGGATCTTTAGCTGGATCTAAAGCTAAGAGAGGGAGAGGAAGGGAGATGGGGAAGGGAAAAAAGGAAGAGGCAGGGTGGGAAAGAGGGATGGGGCAGGGAGGGGTGAGGTAGAGATAGGGAGGTTGGGAGGGAACAGAAGATGTTAAAATACAGTTCCGTAAAATGGAAGCATCTAATCCCATCAAATAAAATTCATGAAATAATTTATTAGTGTTTAGCTGTAATTTTTCTTTATGTGCTTCTGCTCTAAGAGATAACTCTACTTTTTATTCACATACCTCAGAAACACTAGGTAGTTCCAGGTTAGTATCATCCATTGTACACTGAGCAAAAGCACACACACTTATGTGTGTGAACAAGTATAAGAAAAACAACATTTTGAGACCCCATTTTATTTATTTATTTATTTTTGAACTGGTACTTCTGCAGGTGGGTAGAAAAAAAGGATAAAGCCAAACACATATAGTAGCATAAGTGAGACTTTGGGTTTTGAGAATAGCCCGTGGCTATACTTCAGGGCTGGGCACCCGCATCATGGTGAGAACTGAGGAGTTAAATTTTACTTTTAAATGTTGAGTACTTGACATTTGACCAAGCACTTACCTAAACAAAACTTCCTTCTTGGTGGCTATTGACAAAGACTGATTCTTGGTATTTTTTTTTTTAATAATAACCTTACTAAAATGCAATTCACATCCTCTGCAATTCATTTTTTTCTAAATTTTCACCTCCATCTTTTATCCCATTTGACCCTTTCTTTGTCCCCTTCCCACTTAATCTCAGAAAAGTCCATCAATGTGTTGTTGAGTCCTCCAACCATGTGGAATATTTATATGTAAATAGAATATAGACAAATATGTTCATTTGTCTTTCCGACTTGCTTTACTGTACATACATGCCACAAATTCCTTCCATTTTTGCTGTAATGGCAACATTTCATCTTTTCTTATGTCTGAATAGCATATCGATACCCTTACAGAGCTGCACCACATCTTCTGGACTCAATCTTTGATCAGTGCGCATTTAGGTTGTTTCCAAATAGTAGCGACTGTAAGTAATGATGCAATTAACATAGAAAAAGCATATAATTTGTGAGTTGATGATTCATGTTCTTTAGGTATACCCCACGGTGAGCATGCTGAGTCCTTCGCTATATCCATATCTCGAATTTTAAGGTCTCTCCAGATGGCTATCCAAAATCACTGTGCCAGTTCATATTCACAGATATAATTCATTATTTAGAATATAAATTTAATAGTTTTTCACTATATTCATAGTTGTGAATCTTTATCTAAAATCAAATTTTAAAAGATTTTTTTTTTCAATTCAGAAATTACCTATGTCCTTTGGTTAAATTTTCCATTCTCCCAACTCCCCCACAACCACCCATACTAGGCACCTATTAATCTCCTGTGTGGATGCATTTCCTATTCTGGGCACATCACATAAATTGATTTATACAATATGTGACTGTGTGACTGAATTCATATAATTCAATGTTTTTAGTATACAACCATGTTTTAGCATGCTTCATTCCTTTATATTGTTGAAGAATATTCCATTGTATGGACATGCCACACTTTATTTATTTTGATTTTTTAAAGATTTATTTATTTGTGCATACAGAACTGGGGTACAGGCCAGAAGTGCAGGGGCGGTGAGAGGATTCACCAGAGACAGAGTAGGGAGCAGAACAGGCCAACTGATGAAGTACACTGCTGAGGAGCAGTGGGCGAGTCAGGAGAGGTCTGTGCAGGATCACCTTGGGGTCAGACAAGGATCGAACTCATGCTGAAATGGCTTTAGCTTCTTAGTGCTGTGCTTTAATCCACTGCACCACCAGGGAGAGCCCTAATATGCCACACTTTGAATAAGCATTTGCTATTCAATGGGAAATTTGTTGTTTCTATTCTTGTGTACTATGAATGATACACTGCTATTGAAAGTTATTGTGATGGTTAGTGACACTGTGAGGCAATTAAGTGTTGGGAGAAGGCTGGAAAGGTACAAAAAGGTAAAAAAGTATTGAATGTCCAGTTTGGGTACATGTCCAGTTTGGGTACATGTGAAAATTAATAGAAAAAAATACCATGAAAAATGTTCAACTGAAAATAAAATTCAAGTGCATGTGAAGAAAAAAGAAGAGGTCTGATGGGAAGAATGCAATTGGGATGTTTCTGGGCTTTTACTAGGATAAATGTGGGCTTTCGCTGGATATAAAACATAGATTTGAGCTACTCATTCAAAAATTTAAAGATTGGGTAAACCAGTGCTAATATCTGTTGTACAATCAAATTACCTCATGAATGTATTAAATCTTAAGTATTTTTTTTAAGATTTATTTATTCATACAGAACTGGGGTACAGGCCAGAGATGCAGAGGGTGAGAGGATTCACCAGAGACAGAGCAGGGAGCAGAACAGGCAGATCTACGAAGTACACTGCTGAGGGGAGCAGCGGGCGGGTCAGGAGAGGTCTGCCGTGCCATGTGGATCTCCTCCGGGGCAGGCGGGAATCGAACTCATGCAGAAGTGGCTTAAGCTTCTTAGTGCTGTGCTTTAACCCGCTGCACCACCAGGGAGGGCCAAATATTAAGTATTTTTAATTAAGACTAAAAAATAATTGTGTTAATGATTTCAATAAAATGCAGATATATATTATATCTACAGATGTATATATATAAACATATTTTAAAAATATGAAATATAATATAAATCATTCACTTTAAATTTCAAATAAGCATGAGGTTTAAAATAAATATAACACATATAGTATTCTAAGCATATAGCTGAAAAAATATTAACCAATAGACATATTATACCACGCCAAAATGGGCATGACTTTAAACACATCTACTTGGAGTACAGATTTTACAATTCCTTCATTCTAAAGAAAATATTTTTTGGTAAGCCATAATTACACCAATTATAGCTTCTCTCAATTTCTGAGTAGTTTCAAAAAATAAGATATATAAATAATTTTATTCATTTTAAAAAAGGTTGAATTTACTTGGTTCACTGTGCAAATGCAAATTTCTAGAACATTCTCATTATACTACCCCAGTTTAAATTGTTGCTAATTAAAATATCTCATTAAAGTTGACCCTTAAAATTGTAAGAATTTTTATGGGACAGATAAAAGAAAATCGTACAATAACTTAGGAAGCATTAAAAGTGTTTTGAGTTCTTTGCAATCTTTAGTCTATTTTGGATTTTTAATAATTAATATTATATTTAAATATTGATTAAAATACAAAAGTTTGTCTCAAAATTAAACAAAGCCATTGCAGCTAGCACTGTACCTTATATTCAGCTGTATCATATGCTTGTTGTAACTATATATACCTGGGGCAGAGTGTTATAACAAAGGAGTGTTTTCATTCGGAAATAAAACACTATTATACATTTAAAATTATCATGATTAACCTAACTTAATTACATCTCAAATGTCCATTATTTATAGGTAATTTTAGATATTCTTCCAGCTGTCTTTACCCAATCCAACCTACAGTAGACATTTTTTCAAAGTTCCTTTAACACTTGCAACATTTTATCTACTTAATAAATCAGTATTCAAAAACAGGTACACAATGAGGATGAATTTATCAGAACAAACAGAGAACTATGAAGAAGAATTTAATGAGTCTTGTATAAAATTCGACATAAATCATCAAATAAAATGATAGCAGTATTCGTCAGGAGATGGAAAATGTAACAGAAAGTGAACTTGAAGAATCAGATATACAGGATCTGCAAGAAGGAAAAAAACACTTTCTGTGTATGTGGTTTTAACAGCTGTACTTTTTAATTTTTTTTAAACCAGCTGTATTTTTTTCTAGAACTTACATTGTTGGCAGCTTAAAAACTATAAAACATCACACACTGTAAATACAGATGCCTGAGATTTTATTCTTGAAATCACAACAATAATACAACCGTCTCCCTCTTGGCTGAAGCCCATGGATTAGAATCAGTTCTCTCTTTTCGAGAGGCCTGGCAGAAGGTCACCCTGTTTTTATCTTCCTCTTTTATAACTTTTTTCAAATTAGCATCTTGTGCTTTATTCTGTATTTTTGTACTTATTTTTCTTCAAATATTCAGCAAAACAACCCATAGAAAGGTTCAAAAGTATACTTGGTTGTGTTCTTTACCTGAATAATTTAATTATAATAATATGGGTGGTTTCATATGTACAACAGTTCCACTTGTGATTTCTCGATTTTACTATGATCCAAAAGTGGCCGCCATTCAGTAGAAAATGTATTTTGATTTTTGAAATTTGATCTTCCCCAGACCAGCAACATACAGTGAAGCATTTGGCAAGGCAGGGCACAGTGCCCAGGCTCTATAGCACCTGGTAACGACCATTCTGCTTTTGATTTTCAGTACAGTATTCAGGGGATTACATGATTACTTTATTATAAAAATAGACTTTGTGGGACCTCCCGGTCCCACAAGGGTTACATCTTCTTAGTGCTATGAAGTTATCTCTAGACACTGCAGCACAAGTTTGAACCCAGGCAGAAGAGCTGACCCAGCAGACCTCTCCTGTCTCTTGGCTGCTCCCCTGAGCAGTGGATTTCAGTAGATCTGCCTGTTCAGCTCCCCATTCTTTCTCTTATTTATCCTCCCAAACCCCACTCCTCAATTTCTGATCTGTACCCCATTTTTTATGCATAAATAAATAAATCTTTGAAAAATAATAGACGGTGTGAGATGATTTCCCTAACTAGAAGTGTAAGTGTTCTGAGAATATTTATGGTGGGCCTTGCTTAGCTATGGTGTTCCACAGTTTAAGGGCATGAAATGCATTTTTGATTAAGTATTTCAATTTACAATGAGTTTGTAACGTCCCCAGTGTAACTCTAGGAATATCTGTGATTTAATATTTTAATGATCTGTCTGATTGATGTGAACTTACCTAGACACTTCAGAAGTAATGTTTGTTGTTTTTTTTTCCAGAAAAAGCAACCTGAATTTCAAGCAACTGCTTTATAACTTAACCTCTGTTTCATTAGTGATA